TGTTTGCTCCACCCTTTCAGCTATAATAACAATGTCGGTAAAGTTGGTTGAGGCGTTCCTAATCGGATATTCAAAGTATGACATTTTGAATGTATTTCAAAAAATTGAGATCAATTCGGATTCGGGCAACGGTGGATGAATCGAGCGATCACCTCATGCCACCTTTTTTGCATATTCTTTAATCGTTTCTCTTGGCCCCTTCTCCATTCCTTGGAGATCCGATCTATTTGGTGTTATCTCCATGTTGAACTTATACTTGTTTGAGAAAAGCATCGACTAGATCCTTTCACCTTCGGATCTTTGATCCTTCTAACCTCATATACCAACTTAAAGCTGAACCTCCCGGGCTTTCATAAAAGAAATGGATTAATAGCTTTTCATCGTGAACCACTTATACCATCTTGTTACGGTAAACCCTCGAGTGAGTCATAGGACACTCGGGTTCCGGTGTACTTGAGAAAATACGACACCTTGAACTTTCTTGGAATCACTATATCGGGCACCAAACACATTTCGATGCCCTAATCAGATTGTAGACGTCCTCCCCCTCCATTGCTCTTAAGCGTTCTTCTAATGCCATGAGTCCGTCCATACTTGGGCCTTCAATCGCCCTACAGGCCATGAGCTTCCTCTTTTGCGAGATCTGTTGGAGGCATTTGCGGGACTCTTGGGTCCATGGGGTAAGCAAATGTTCCGGTAGGGTGTGAACCTTCAACCTAAAAAGTTGCATGATTGGAAGGCCCCGATCGATGAGGTGATGGAACGAGCTCGCTGTACTTCAAGTTGTCCTTGATTCAAGCTACCTCCCCTCTTAATGCTTGCTCTAACAAGGAAGTCATCCGAGCCACACTTTCTTTCGGCGAGTCAAACTCTTGCTGGCTAATTCGCTATTGTCACGATCTTTCCTCATTCTCCATTTGGTGAGCCCGAAGTCGAGTGTTGTAGACGCGCGAGGGGATTGAGTGGAGCGACCCATGTTTACTTCACTTGGTAATGCAAAAGAAATATATACAAATAAATACTTAATACAAATGCATGATTTTGAAGCTGGGTTAGATACCTTTTTTTATTTTGTTGCTTGTTAAATCATGACGGAATTCTATTGAGGATAGGTTAGACCGAGCTAGTACTCGGCGAGGGCAAAAATTACCCCACGAATACTTGGGCAATTAGGGAGATATATATGCCCCCAATTTCGGTCGTGACTTGATTTTGAAATGATGAAGCCACTCTTATTATAAATACACGAAGGGTAAAACCTTTTTTTTCGCAGTCTCGACACGAAATTCAAGGACACACAATCTCCTTCATCATTTCGAGCCCGCTCAAATTTGATCTAAAATCCTCGACCTTATTTCTAACTTATTCGATCATGATTTAATACGAAGGGTAACCTTCACTAAAAATTATAAAAATACCCTTGAAATACCAAAGGTTAGTATTGACATCTTTTGACAATGATTCGTGTCTTAATTAGGTCAATCCTAATAGACAAGATCTAGCTTTTCTATGGTTGGGCAAAGCTTGACTAGTCCTAAAGATTTTTCAAGCCTCTAGACTCGCTTAAATTACCGGTGGGGCAATCCAACCTCTAACCTTATACGTTAGGAAGTATGGGAAGGTTATTCCACCATTTTCAATGTATAGGGTGAGTTTCGATCTAAACGAGAGTTTGAAAGAGCATCGGTAGACTTTCGTCATACTCACCTCCAAATCACTCTATCTAATTCCTATCGGGGTTTAGCTTGGATCCGGAGCTTTCATAGGTTTCCTTCGTGGTGTGTGCAACAGTTAAAAGAAAAGACGTATAACCCAATTCAAAAATAAAAATACAAACAAAAAAAATTTAAATATATACACAAATAAATAAACAAAATTCAGAAAATAAAATGACAAAACTAAACATAGGAGATAAATTAAAAACTAAACCTATGGCCTAACTCTAGTCTCTAGTGGAGTCGTCATTACGTCGCTACTCGACATCGGACGGGCCCCCCAAAAGAAAATTAAGCGTCCGACCATTAATTAATTATAAAATTATTTACAAAGTTTCGGAGTCGCCACCTAGTATTTAAGGAACTAGGAACCTAAAAGTAGCACTGGTTCGGAGATTCCTAAGGTAAGGAGTTGGTTACGCTTTTAGGAAGATATTTAATCACCTAAAAGTGCCCTTTTCAAAAAAAGGTACCATGTACGATTTAATTCTAAATTATCTCCTAAAATCCATGTCAAGCTATTTTCTAAATTTTAATCTCCTAGTTTTAGACTCGGTGAATTTTTTTAGTTTTGGATGTGGCATCATATTGAAACGATCGTCGGTCCCCTTCGTCGGGTGACACATCGGCTCAAACATCGAATCCACTAAAAGCCTTGACACAACCGACGTGTCAAAGGACGTCTTGATTAAAAGGTAATTTTTTTTGTGGCATCAGCCCCTATCAAATAGGAGAGTCTGCTCCAATTTTTGGGTATTTTTTTTTGTGCGACGTTAGTCCCTATTAGATAGGAGACTTTGTCAAATTGTATATATATAATTTTCTAGCAATACATATTAAAAAAGAAAAAAAACTAAAATAAAAAATTCTAAATCAATAAAGAAAAACTACAAGAAATAAAATAAATAGGCTAAAAAAATTAAATGAAAAAAAATACAAAAAAAAAATCATCCTATATAAGCGAGGTTAAAAAATAAATGACAATAAAAGTAATAAAAAAAAATCCTATACCCAAAATATTGACCTACCACTTTTACTCTCTTTTTTTTCTTTTTTACCTATTTTTTTATTCCCTAATTCTATTTTTTATTTTTTATTTTCTATTTTTTTGGAGGTGGGCTACGGATCTGGGCCTCCCATTTTTTTTTTTTGGGAGAAAGGGTGCGGATTGGACTCGAAATCAGCCTGACTCCCTTTTCTTTTTTTTTTCTTTTTTGGCATCGAGTCGGACTGATCGCGTTTTCTCTTCTTTTGTAAATTGCTTGGGCTTAAGCCTAGAAACGAGCTCAGGTAAGGAAAATCAAACGAAAATGGATCAAATGGCTTCCCAACACTCTCTCTCTCTTGTTCTTAATTCGTTCTTCAAGTTTTCTCTCTAGTTCTTCAAACTTTCCAGAAATTAAACTCCCTTTCAAGAAATGAACTCAATCACACACGTACCTCAATTCAAGATTAGCAAGTAAAAACATCTAGATTTAAAGCTAACAACAAAATCAAACAACGGGGAATCGAATTTGGGGGTTCACACGGAAATTGTCCGAAGAACACCAAGATGAACCCGAGAAAACTTCAAAAAAAACCTAGAAATGCAACTCCAACAATGTTAGTTTCTCACGAATTTCTTAAAACCTTATTCTTGATTTCCTTTCCTTCGCTCTAACGAACCAAAATCTTCCTCAAATCAAAATTAAAGACACTTCAAACCGGTTCCGGGTTGAAGAACACAAACCCAAAACTATGAACCTTTAACCCCAAAACCCAAAAACTTCGCTAACAAAAATCGAAAATCGACCTTTTATTTTTTTTTCTTGCTTGGATTTCCTATCTCTCAACCTAAAATTGCTCTCTTCTATTTTTTCTCCCCCTTTGTCTTGAAATCAAACTCATTTTTATAGCCAAAAGCTTGCTTGATTTTCTCCTAGAATCAAACACAAAATCCCTAAAATTTTCTATCAAAAATCTCAAATTTGATTCAATTTGCTAATCAACGAGGAAAGGAATTAGTGATTGATTGATTCTCTACCCAAAATTAATTCAATGACAAATGTAGAATCAAAATAGGAAATTTGTGCATGATTTGGTAGATTTCTTCAAAGATTTTCGGAGGGAAATTAGAGTTGGAGCGGACGACGAGTCATCTTTCTCACTCCAATCTCGTCGTTTGCTCCAAAAGTTTAACTTGGTCCTTATGCTTTTTAATTTTTTACGATCACACCCTTTTGTGGCATAATTTCAACACAATCTTATCAATTGGGTCTCTGTAAAAGCAATTTAGGTTCTAAATCTTTCAATTGGTTCAACTATACACCTAATTACTTCAATTTTGTCCCTAAATGGAAGTTTTTGTGTTTTTCATCATTTACCTTTCTTCTTTTTTTTTCTTTTTTCCAGTAAAATAAATAAATAAATAAAACTAATAATTAAAAAATAAAAATAAAAATAAAAATAAAATAAAAAATAGAAATAAAAACAAAAGTAAATTTTGGGTTATTACAAATTTATTCATATGAATTGAAAAAGGCAATCTAGTTTGTTCTGCCTAACAATAAGCATCATAAAAGAAAGACCTTGATGAGTCAAACATGAATAATAAATTTGAAGCTAGTGAGAGTCAGTTCATTGGTTGACGTCCTAAATGATGGTGCTATAAATTTGTAGTATTGTGTCTATTTGCCATTAACGCTTTTCCCATCCTCATTGGTTATAAATAGCACAAACTATTTCACACTCTATCTATACCAATCGGCTTCCTCGAGAGTAAGTTTTGTATCATACAAAAATCAGATCTAAATATCAGAACACTGTTGAATCTTGAGTTGATTTATAGAGTATAAAAGATTAAAATAAAAAGTAGGCATGTCCAACGCTTGTTCGAGTCTCAATTTTTGGCCAAGATTTACTCAACCCAAAACATAAACTGTAACATTATCTCTATTAGGAATTTAGACTAGAGGAATATTAAGATTTATACAAATGTATATCATGGAATTAAATTTATATGTCATATGATCTATGGCTCATATTTCAATAATCCATGTGTCTGTCTTACAAGAAAAATTTTGTGAGGCCATATTTGTAAAAGCCTAACAATTTATCTAAATTCGCAGCTAAAAAAATAACTAGCTATTGGATTTGTTTTGGCATGAGATGTGGGTATGCAAGGACTAAAGTAAGATTAGAATTTGAGGCGTCGGTATTTGCTATGAACAAATAATTCATTACCAGTAGGCAGTAGCGATGTTATGGCTCCAATAATGTATGGTTGCTATTGATCTCCCTTCAGACTAGGTTTTCTCCAACTGGATACATATTCGATGATCTTGTATCAATTTTCTTGAAAATGATTGCTTTGATTGCAATAAGTGTATTGAAATTGACCATCTCACTTTTCACCTTCTTGCTCAATGCTCCAATCAATCCTTTGATCACTTTCTTGTTGCCTTGTTGGTGTTTTGGCTAACATGATTATGGCCTCAATGCTAGAGACACGAGTAGTAGCCATCATGCATTGTTTTTCATCTTGAGCAACTATGACATAAATTCTTTCCATCCCCTATAATGGTTCTATGCTCGTGATTTGAGATCAAACTGTTTTGTAAGCACCACTAATCTCATTAAAAATCAAAAATCTTCTCTTCTTCATACATCTCTAAATCTTTTTTCTAGCACCATAAGTACACACAAGTATCAGTTTCAGATTATGTAATTCACTTTAGGTAATCTTTAATTTTCTATAATATGTGGAGATGGTTGATTTTTCTTGTTGTCGTAGTGCAATGGCCTACTTCAACTAATACACACGAGGTATAATTTTCTGAGTGAATCGCTAAAATTTGCATTGCTCGTAGAGTCTACATGAGCAATGCCTGTTTGCAATTTCTTATAGGGCAAGTTGATTAGTCTTGGTTTGACCATAACATTGTAGTGGATGAAAGATTAGAAATCCTTGGAATTAACATCGAGTTTCTCTATGAATTCATTCGCAAACTGTGCATTGTTTTTGGATTGAAGTGCATTCAAGAAGCTATTTCTTCAAGTGAAATAATTGTCTTCAGTTTCGCTAATTGTTTACAAAAATCAAGTCTGGATCATTTGATAAGTACAAGTAGAATAAACATTTGGTATCAATTGCGATATTTTCTGCATTTGCAATGGACACCAAACTCTCCCAATCATGACATGTGGGACTGCTACCCATGGCCCAAAAAAGGAAAAAAAAAAAAAAAAAAAAAAAAAAAGCTCTTTGGTTGGAGCCAAAGCTATGATAGCGCATAAAATTGTGAGTTGTATTTTGTTTTATTTCTATTCCTCAGTAACAAGTGCCTTTATATACCATTATAGAAGGTAATCACTCCCACATTCACTCTCACAGTTAATGAAAGACGCTAATCACTTCCACAACCACTTATATGTAAACACTCCCACAATCACTCCTGTGTAATTATTAAAGAAGCATATATTTTATGTTTTCGTTCAAATTAAGGTTTGTAATTCTCACAAAAATTCATGTTAGAATTATGTGTGTTTAAATCATTTAGTGTCATGTGATCATTACGTGATGAATATTAATCTCAATTTGGATGGAAATCTAACTTAACTTAATAGAATAACTAATTTTTTCGTAATTTTCCTTAAAAACTATCTGCATTGAATAAACACTATTTACAATTTAACTAATAAATCGGAGGTTGACATATTTTATCCAGAAGAAAAGGCACGCTTAGTTTAACACATATATTGATTGCAGATATAAACTGGTGGATTGGCACTGCATACATGTGCGAAGCAAATGAAAGAATCAATTAGGACCATATTTTCCACTAAAGATTCTAAAAGTACTCCAACAATTTACTTTCCCAATCGATTGAAGAAACATAAAGAAAGAAAAAATTATTAAAAAAAAAAAAAAAACTACGTATATCAAAAAAATCATATGGAAAATTTTATGTATTCATTTGTGCCTGTGCCTTTTTTTTTGTTACCTTAACATTCGTAAAATAATCCTATATATATATACATAGATGAACTAATAACTCCATGAGAAATTGAATGTGTACCATTGAGTCTAGCATATGTGCTCACATTTTCACTATATAGAACATTATTTGCAATATTGAGTCCCAATTGATGCTGATAATCACACTTTGGAAATGATATTGGAGATCAAAAGTTGGTGATTTCATGCTTCATCACTTCAAATTGTGAGTATATATAGTGGCGCCCCTTCATAATAAGGATTATCTATCTCATTTATGCTAACGAATAGAAATTTACAATGTAGATCATGATAGTTTAATTAAATGGATAACAAAATTCTTTAGCTCTATTTCCAAAATTCAATATCTTCCTTTCTTCTTCTTCTTTCCCCAAAATACATTCCTTTCAATCTCCTGTCTCGCCACATTTTAAACTGTTTTTTTTTAAAAAAAAAAAAGCTTTAATTAAAATACCTTGCATATCAAACCGTAAAGGGAACAACAAAGGAGAAAACTTCAAAAAATGAAGTTAGAAGTATTACAAGATTTCAAAGCCGTAAAGACAAGTCGAGCTGGCTTAACTCATCTTGAACATTTTCCGTCCTGTATACCATGGACCAAGAACCCCCTATTCCTTCTCTAGAACCATAATTCATCTCTGTCCTGCCATAGCTCGCGTCCCCAACAAACTTACCAGCTTGTCCATGGTGCTCGAACCCTGCTAGAGCTGGCTGATCGCTTCGAGGATAGCTTGAGCTACTCTTGCTAGATGATGATCCTGACCGTAGGTTCGATCCTCCATAAGCCCGTACCGATGAACTCATCTCTCTGCTCTTCTTGGCTAAGGTTCTCTCAAGCTTGTGAGCGTTTTGGTGACCACCAAGAGCTTGTGAGCTATAAAACTTTCTTTGGCAATAGTTGCATGAGAAAATTCGAGGTTCTGCTGGACTACGAGGTGATGATGATGAGGAAGAGGATGGCTCAAGTACAAGTTCTAGGTTCGGTTGATTGCTTGGTAGGCTTAGATGTAGAGCAGTGTTTGGTTGGAAATCCATCCCTAGATAGAGAGGGGGGGGGGAGTGGGGAGAGAGAGAGTAAATAATTAACAGGAATTAATTCGTAATAAAGGGTTGAGCAAGAAGAGATGGGGCTTGATGTAACTAAGAATGAGCGATGATCAATGATAATGGGAAAGAGAGAGAGAGACAGTTGTGGGCATAAAAGTTAGGCTATTGGAGTACAGGAGAAATGTGGAGAGTAGATCCAATGAAGTAAAAGGAGAAGGTCAGTCTTACATTATATGAGGTGCAATGGTTCACTGTTCCTGCAACCACATATAGTAGAGTGAAAAAGAGATAGGCAATTTTATTAGAATGTGAGTGAGAGAGAGAGAGAGAGAGAGAAGAGACAGGAACCTGCAAAGATCAGTGTAGGATCGAAGGGTTGTCGACTCCATTAATGGCAGCATTATAATCCTTTGTCGGTCCATGGAAAAATTCCTTCGTATTTCTACTAATTTATGTACTCAAGAACATCAATGAAACCTGAAATTTCAGTATTTTATAGTACGCATTTTTTTATTAATTTTTCTTTTTTCAATTCCTTTTTGAACCTGCGTAATTTACTTATCCATTCAACATGGGTCCGAATCAACTTCTGTCTCATAGTCAAAGGAATAGATGATTAAATTAACAAGCACTAATTAATCTTGCTTCCGACATTAGTATTAGAATAATCAACAAGACAAACCATCTTGACTAGACTAAACAAGCAATATGATAACAGACCGTTTACTAATTTCAATCGCAAAATTATCGTATTGTGGTTCACTGAACAACCGAACTGGATGAGAAGTAGTCCCTCTACACTGAATCCATTTGCAAACCAATTGGACAACTGTATGCTGTTCAATCCCAGACTACATTGTGACATTGTATCCAAGAGATTTCTGCACAGGAAGATTGCTTAGGTAAAAAATCCAATGTCCTTTCACTCTAACTGTCCAACATACTTGTCGGCCGGAAGATTTCTCCAAGCTATGCTTATGAATGTTTTGCGATATTTTACTGAAAATTAGTTCGTTAGATCAAATCATCTTGACGTCTTTGGAAAATAATTCAAGGATTGTTTTTGTTTTATAAGAAAGGTATCCTGTCCTTTGAGATCAACTAATTCGATTAAATTTCGCCACTTCGTCAAAAAAAAAAAAAAAATCAATCTTTTTGTTATCCATTTGATTAATTGATCATCTATATTTTCTATTTTAATCAACTGAGCAGAATTTTTTAAAATTAAGAATTTATTTTTAACCGATTGAATATTTTTCTTCACTATGTGATACTTTATGATCAATTTTTATTTCATTCTTAATAATATCATCTCTCATCCCACCTTTTTTTTTTTTTAAGTAATTCTCTTTTCAATTTAGATAAATTGTACTTAATTGACTAAAACCAAAAACACAGATGTTCAATTAACTAAATTAATAACATAAAGATTTTTTTGATAAATTGGTAAAAATTAATACACAATTCAAATAATGTGTTTAACCAACTAATCCTCTAGATACATCCAAACAGCCTGAGCCACATAATAAAGTTAGAAAATACACTTTAACACTTTTTTTTTACCCCAAAAAAAAAACTTTGACAAGCACTTTAAAAAACTCCAGAAAAGCGATTTCAAACAGTGGCTTAATATTTCTAACTAACTAGAAACGTTGGTACTTTTTGATTTATTTATTACAAGATGTGTTTTATCCAGCGTCATATCTCAAGATTATATTACGACTATGAGTACTCATAGCCCCTGTTCCTGTTTTTTTTTAAAAAAAAAAAAAAAAAAAAAAAAAAAACTTGAGTAATTACACTAGAAAAAAAAACATGAGAAACTGTTGTTATGATCCATCTTAGTACATGATCCAGCGGAAACTTAATAATGCTATACGACCATAATAAATTCAGCCATCTATACATCATCATCCATCAAGTCATTGGCAAACAATACTCAAACAAATATGTTGGAAATGGTAGAGAACGGTGATTTTTATCGTCCATAATGCCCTGGATGGGACCCCAATTTTCTTGTATGCATGCCACTAAGGGTTTCTACTGGAGAATCTCTCTCTCTTCCAAATTTTGACATTATAGTTAACTAAGACATGCACATGGGGAATGGGATTTAAAAACTTTACGAAAAGCAGACAAAATAAAATCGGCCACTACGCTAAATGCTCTCAAACAGGCACTATAGTTTAATCGATTAAATTGGATAAGCCCCCATTAACATAATGATAACAATGATAATTGTAATCATGATTGTGGGATCAAGATCTTGCAGGTCGGCTATGATTGCGCTGAGTGCTGTCTGTTAATCGCAGGCACAACACAACCCAAGAAACTTCGTACTGTTTATGTAGTATTTTATGTAGGTATAGTCAAGTAGTCATATATAACATGAGATTCCAATCTAGGAACATTAATTCCTTAGCTAAAGCTTATATTATGGCAAATCAGTCAATAGGAATGTGTCTCTTTGTACTTTAACAAACCCATAGGACAAGGAGTCATGGACTTGAACATCTACCTAGCTTGATACTTGACACCCTACGTACATCTCTTCCTTCATGTATCGGTGGGCTTTCCTACTTCTTTTCCATAAATTTTTAATTATTAAGTTAGAAGAGCAATATTTCTTAAATCAAAGCAAAAGAAGAGACAGGGTGGCTGGAGTGAAAGAGCCTCACATGGGAAAAGTGGGAGGTGTTTGTAAGAGCAGTGGTGAGACTGAAGGAGCCTCTAGTTTCGCCATATGGATAATAACGATAGCCAATAAAGACATCCTAGCTAAAAAAATTACGCTCTGATGACTGGACATGTTTGTGCTTTGTCGGTTTTATTGATCCTTAATGGGTTTTGGAAGGGCTCATCACTACTATGATTTATGCTTCTCTTTTTTTGCCAACACGTGGATAATGACTTCTAAACTGTGCTTTTTGCTCATTACAACATGCCCCATTTGCTAGCTTCTTGCTGTTTGTATTCTATCGGAGGAGGATTTTAGGATTTATGGTTGTCATGAGATATGAAAAATTTGAAGGGATAATAATGCCCTCATCACTTGAACTGGCTTTATGTGGTGGGCTTGATGTTGAAACTGAGTTTTCTAGTTTTGTATGGTTCATATGCTTCAGGTTTAGCTCTCTTTGCTTTGCCTGCTGCCACGAGTTCTGCTTTTAAATTTGGTGCAAAGATAGCTGCCATGACACTTTGTTTGTTGAGAGTAGGGTCCCGTTTCAACCCACTTTCTCCCTCTCTCCTCTTCATGCACTTTTTGGGCCTTTTCTGTTTCAGTTTTGGATTTATGAAGGAAATTATTTGCGGATTCAGAAACAAAAATAATGCCTTACGCAGAATCTTCAGGTTTTAATTATTACAATTTACAAATAAACGTCTACCTGAATCCAAGATTTAGTTTCGAACCTTTCCCAATCCAAAAAACAAAAAACTCAATCCTTATAAAATTTATGAATTAATGCAAATCTATGTTTTGAATAAATTCAATAAATATTCCTTCAATTTTTTATTTTATTTTCAACTATATTTTTTGTTTATGTTTTATTAAAGATAAAAAATCATAGACCTTGTTGTCAAAACTTTTGAAAACCACTTTTTTTAGGAAAAAAATATAAAGTTAATAGCTCGGTCTATCTTTATATAGTAAAGTAATTTTTAATTATATGTCTTTATATTTTTAAATAAGCCAATTTTATTTTTTAATATACATTAAGTATTCAATATATTATACTTGTCAAGATTTTCAAACCAAATTATTGAAATTATTTACATGATTTGTACATAATTAATTTTTATTCTCAAAATATTCTAGCAAACCGGTTAAATAGAAATTTTTTATATGCAATGATGAATTCCTGTAATTAAAATTGAAAATATTGTTAGGATGATAGATTAAAAATTTAATATTTATTCAATTATAAACTTATTTTAATTAAATATATAAAGAAAAATTAAAGAATTATTCTATTATATAAAAACATATTCAACCATTAGCGCAAAAAAAATATTATTAACTATTTATTGGTTTTGATTTACCTAAAATGAAAGGCAAAAGAATATGAAAAAGAATAAAAAACCATGACAACTTAGTTTTTTTTTTTTTTTTTTTTTGTATCATTTGAAAATTTGTGCAACCAAAATAAAGACAAAGCCGCAAATGATACCAAAAAGAAACGACATATATTCAAATTGAGCCAAAGCATAAGTGATGTTAATCTAGTTTATTCAAGTGAAAATTTGTTCCAACTTAATTTTAAAAACTAACATAAAAATGGAATAAAAATATATATTGGAATTAAATATAATGAAGGAAAAACATGGTACGAAGGAACGAAATAAACAACAAAATTTGTTTTTCTCCAATCTAAAATCCAGGATCACCATTGAATCCAATAATTATAATAAGAAGTTGTTTTGATCATTACCTCTGGAAGCACAATAACAAGATAGCGGATTGAACCGTCCAACTGTCGAGTCTCTAGTGACAATCCATGTAGCTTGGACACCAACACAAGAGAAGCGACAATACGGGAGTGCTAGCTCCACTTTCTTTCAAATATGAAGAAAGTTCCACACTTTTTATTTCAAGGAGAAAATTCAACCAACTCTTCTCTCACTTAGATATGAGTGGTTTGATGCATCATTTTCTTATAAAACCCTCATTTAGGCTTAATAAACGTTTTTCAAAAGTTCACAAAAATGCCCCTCCATTTAAAATACTTCTTATAGGCTTTCAATTAAGCCTATTAGTCTAACATCTTAAACCCAATAACTCAATAATAGATGGATCATAAAAATAAGCTAGGTCGAGTATTTTAAAGAAACCAATTTAGAAAGCTATTTTCTAAATTACCCTTATTGAATTTCAAAAAATAATTATTTTTTTTTTCAAATTTCTCTTAGTTCTTAAAGAATGAAATCAATTTTTTCAATTTCCATTTTTTCTTCGTAATTCTTCGCTTCTCTTTATCCGATTCAAT